TCAAGTATGTGTGAGTGAAGCTTTTACGTACAGTAAAAATAAAACCACTTCAACCCTAAACACTTGGAGAAATATGTAAATGATAAAGGAGTGAAATAGAAAACAACAGTAGGCAAGATGGATCAGAATTGAGAGCTGTGGAAGGATTAGCTAGAGCATAGATGGAAGATGAGAAGTAATAGATGTGTGGGGACTAAACTGCCCTAGGGCCATCACTTCTGCCCCTAATGACATGTCTGCTGCATAGACATGAGTAGAGATGAAGAACAGGAGTCATCAGTGATGTGGTGAGGGATGTCAAAGTCAACAAGAAGTGCTTCTATGAATACTTGAGTAGCAATAGGAAGACTAGGGAAAATGTGGGCCTACTGCTGAATGGAGCAGGGGCCCTGGTAACACAGGGCATGGAAAAGACTGAGGTACCTAATGACTTCTTGGGCTCAGTCTTTACTAGTAAGAGGGGCCTTCTGAAATCCAAGGACCCAAAGATGAGGGGGAAAGCATACCCTTGGTGGAAGAGGATGAGGTTAGAGAATAGCTAAGCAACCTTGACTTATAAGTCCATGGGCTCTGATATGATGCACCTGTGAGTGCTGGCAGGTGTCATTGTGAAGCCACTCTCAGTCTTTGAACAATCATGGAGATTAGGGGAGGTGCCTGAGGACTGGAGGAAAGTAAAGGTCATGCCTACCTTAATTGCAAGGAGGACCTGATGAAGGTCTCAGCCTAGAGAAGAGAAGGCTCTTTTTGGTGGTGCCCAGTAACAGAACACTGGCACACACTACCCAGAGAGGTTGTGGAGTTTCCATCCCTGGAGACATTCAAAAACCACCTGGACATGGTCCTGGGCAACTGGTTGTAGGTGGCCCTGCTTGAGCAGAAGTTTGGATCAGATGACCTCCAGCAGTCCCTTCAAACCGCAACCATTCTGTCATTCAGTGATCATATTTCATAGGAGCAGTCATAGTGGTCCAGGCCTTAAGGCAATCTGGTTTAATAATTTATCCCTACATGTTGATATCCCCTGATTCTTACATTGGAAATGACTGCTGAATAATTCCTTATGTACCTTTAGAATATCTCAAGTTAGAAGGGACCCATAAGGATCACTGAGTCCAGCTCCCTGCTACTTGCAGGACTACCTGAATCTAAACCATATGACTAAGAGTGTTGTCCAGATGCTTCTTGAACTCTGACAGGCTTGGTGCTGTGACCACTTCCCTGGGGAGCCTGTTCCAGTGACTGACCACCCTTTTGATGAAGAACTTTTTCCTAATGTCCAGTCTGAACTTCTCTTGATGCAGCTTCATCCCATTTCCTTGGGATTCTGTCACTGGTCACCAGAGAGAGGACATCAGCGCCTTTGCTGTGGTATCAATCGGCGTTCCCCTCTCCACTGGCGACTGTGAAGAAGTCACCCCTCAGCCTTAGAATCATAGAATCATAGAATCGTTTAGGTTGGAAAAGACCTTTAAGATCATCCAGTCCAACCATTAACCTACACTACCAAGTCTACTCTAAGCCAATCAAGGGCAGACTAGACTAAACCATGTCCCCAAGTGCCACGTCTACCCGTTTTTTGAACACTTCCAGGGATGGTGACTCCACCACCTCTCTGGGCAGCCTGTTCCAATGCTTGACCACCCTTTCCGTAAAGAAATTTTTCCTAATATCCAACCTAAACCTCCCCTGGTGCAGCTTAAGCCTTTGTCATCCCCTTGATGTTTCTATTGGATTCTATCATATAAGCCTCAGTTGTCATTTGTAGTATGAAGTGCCTTAATGTACTTAATTGTTCCTCATGTGTAAACTGTTCTATACTGTTGGTGATCTTTAACATAGTTTCTGATGCACTCCCAGTTCTTTTATGTTCTTTCCAAATCAGGAAATGGGACTGTGAATGCACATAATTGGGTAACGAAGTTTTCTGTGTTCTGTTCTTATATTTTCTAAAACTGTATTTGTTTTTTACCACTGGGCCTATCTTAATCATAGATGTTCTATGAGTAGTGAAAGCACAGAACCTATTACTTTGTATAATGTTAGGATATATAAATTTATATATGTGTGTATATTAACTCCCAAGTGTCCTCTCTTATAGTTTGCTGCTTTGAATTTTTTTTTTGCTATTTTCCTTTCCTTAATATTCAGGTTGGGATTCAGCTACAGATTAAAGAGCTAGGCATCTGAACTCCTGTTGCAGTTTATAGATAGTGCAATTACTTTTACTTGCTCCTTTTATTCTGTAATTTGTCTCTAAGACAGTTGGCGGCACCATCCAATGCATTCCCTGTAAGGAAACAGTCTACCATGAGAACCTTGTCCAGCCTTTCTTGATTGTGTAGCAAAAAACATAATGTATACATACATATATATCTCACTGTTCTTCACTGGTGATTTGGCCTCACTCTGGCAGATTTCCTGATTCCAGAATGTTTGAAGGACTTTTATTTTTCTTCAGATTTTCTACAAATTCTTTAAATTATCTCTGACCTGCTTTCCTGAGTATTTTACATTTGTTTTATTAGCATTTGTCCTTTGAGGTTAGAGATGGGTTCAGCTTTTCAAGTGATACCGCTTTTAATACCTCTCCTTACCCTGTTGTTCTAGCCTTACTGAGCTCCTTTTGCCCTTTCTCAAGCTTTTTCTTTTTTGACAATTGTTGTGTATCTGCTCTGACTTCCCATGGGATTTCTCTAAATGTCTTCCCATATTGCGTATATACATTTCACTCTTAAGTCTTTTTAGAAGTAATTTATGTAACTGCCCTTTTTTCAAATTAAGCAATACCAGAACTGATTTTTTGTTTTTGCAAAGGTTCCTATTCAAGTGGTTCCTCAATATTATCAGTCAGTTTCTGTTCATTGTTCATGTCAATCAAACTTCTTTAGTTCCCTGATAACTTCTTAATGAAATAACAATTTACAGTTTCTAAAAGTTTGCTCTTAGCATCCTACCTTGATACGACTCATCTGCATGGTGGTAATTGAACTCTCCTGTTACTGGGTTTCCTATCTCTGCACCTTTCTAGTGTCCTCCAGCCTGGTGCAGTAACCATCTGAGTAGTGTAATACAGAACTATACATCTCAGATTGTTTATTCTTCCTACAGTGACTCTTAAAAAAAGCATGTAAATGTCTCCTAATATAGGAGAAATACGATTTCCCACACATCACCACTCCAATCCTATTAACTGTTTTGAAAAGACCTTCTCATCACATGGATCTGATGTTCTGATTACTCTTCAAGAATAAATCTATACTGGCTCTAAAACTGTACTTTTTTCCCTCCCTCAAATGTTTTTCCATGTTTTTCAGCATGTCCCACTTCCTGCTGCATTCACTTGCACCCTGTCTGAAGGATGCCATGAAGATTATGGCTAGTGATTCTTGAGTCTTTTTACTGACTTTTTTTTTACTTGGTATTGACTATTGTCTATGCCAATAGGTTCATTTCCCTTTCTTTGGCTTCACCTTGGAAAGTGTCACATTTGCTATTTCTTTATATTACTTCAGCAGGCTGTGTCTGGGAACTTCACTGCTCACCCCTGCCCCCACTACAATGAAGTCAAATAAGCAGCTGGTACCCTGTCCTGAGGAGGCATTCTACAGATTAGCCAAAACCAAGTAATAAGCACAGTTTTAAATCACTTACTCTCTAGGCTTGTTTAAAATACTTTGTGACTGTGTTTTGATCAGTAATTAGAATTAATAAAATCTATCCTGATTGTATCAAGTATTTACGTTTTTGCATTCTTTTAGTGATGCAGTTTTTGAAATACTAATTATTTGTGATAAAATGATTATATTTTTTCCTGTTAAGTTTACCAGTGAGAAATTATGACTTATCTGAAATGGGATAGGAAACCTTAAGGCCAAATCTGGATCTTACTTTATAATATTGTTTAAGGGGGAAATGTCTACTGAAATCAGGACAGAGTATTTTCATTCAGTTAGTACTCTTGAGATTAATTAGAAGATGGCTTGATAGGTAGAAGCGTAGTGTAGAGCTTGTGTTTGTTTTCTTCTATGTATCTGTTACAGTATACAATAAGGGTGTGACTTCCTCAGAACAAGTCTGTATGCCTGCAGAGCAGTCATTTAAACTTAGTCATAGTTCATGGGGTGAAATGATCTCCTTTAAAAAGGAGATGTCTATTAGCAATGTTTTAGACATCCTGTTTGAAAGTGGATAAATGATGCAAATTTCTCCCAGATTGTACTTCTAAGTCTCTCCCTTTACTATAGGGAGACAGGGAGGAACACCACCTCTAAATGGATCAAATATTTTTGAAAATTGTTCCGGTTTAGGTCTCAGATTTTTCATCTATATCTTAAGTGTCCAAAGTAATAAAATGCAAGTTAATGTTTATCATTCAGAACTTTTAAAAACAAATATACTGTTATTTCTTGTTCTTAAATACATATAGAGTATCAAGTTATATCCCATAATCACCCTGCACATTTATTACATGTCTGAATGTTTCCTGCAACAGCTGGAAATCTCTTCAGAACCAGAAGAAAATGTAATTCTTCTGACCCACTCAATATCTTACATGCAGTGTGATCTTTGGATTGCATTTAGAAGCTTACACAGGATCAGAAGGGAGTTGCAACCTATTCCTCTCTGCAGGGTTTGAGTACGATATAGCCTGACAGCTTCAAATTAACCTGTTATTCTATGATTGTGATTTCACATATAAGTCAAATTCTAGTGAAGCTGACTGATTCCAGCAAATTGGTTTGGATGTCTGTGTATGTGAGAATGGCTCAAGCTAGTGAGAAGTTCATCACTTAATCACATGTCTAGCTTGTATCTTTCTTCATTTATTGCATAATGTGTATAATTGGATTAAAGCGTACAGAAAAATTATAAACTATAAACCCTCTAGACTTTTTCTGGCTGTAACAAAGCAAAATTGTCATGATGTGGGGGAGGAAGCTGTTGAAAGGGAGGCCAGGGGTGTTGCATTTAATGGGAAGTGATCCATATATTCACAGGGGCCGTGGAGGAGTGCCTCCACCACCAGCAGGAGTACCGAGAGGGGCACCAGCACCCAGAGGAGTGCCTCCCAGTAGAGGACCAGTCAGTCGTAGCCGTGGACTTCTAGCACCCAGAGCAAGAGGAGTACCTCCACCTGCAGGCTACCGGCCCCTTCCACCACCTCCAGCACAGGAGACATATGGTGAATATGTAAGTCAAGCTGTTGACATATCATGCATAAAGTGTATAATTTTGGAGGGATGATCCTATCACTTTAGAACTCAGTAGAATCTCTTCAATGAGTACCTAATGAAGTCTTGCACCCAGAATCTATGGTGAATGTGGTCATCTCTCGTCACCTTTTCAGACTCGAACTGTTTCATATTAATAAAGCTTCAGGTTATATGTACTACCATAAAGGCACTTACAGTTCATTTGGCAAAATAGTTATGTACCTCTTAAACGTATTATATTAGGTTTCTGCTTTATAAAAATCTGAAAAATCACATTGTCAGTAGACTGTTAATTCTCAAATAAAACTGAGAATAATATTGTACTCTTCTTCCTAATCTTATCTTTGTGGTCATATAACTGTTCAACGATTAGACAATTAAAGTATTTTTTTGAAAGCTTCAGAAATGATCCTAAAATTTTAACAATGTACAGTGTATCTCAATAAGCCATACATATTTATCTTTATTTCATTGTATTAAAAATTAAAAAACATATCAAAATACTTTATATTGTACATGACTGAATATTATAGGCAGTTATGAATTGTTAGGGTAAATTTAGTTTAAACTGAACTTACAGAGCACTGAGATAAAGAAAAAAGCTTATTAAAACAAAACTATCGTCATAAAAATGGATTTAGTCTTATAGAAAAATAACATTTTCAAGGACAATGCTTTTGATGTTTTATGAATCTTAAAACTTTTAGCATGCCCACTTTACAGCCAACTCTGCTTTGTCTCTGTTGTTCAGACTAGCAAAAACGGAATTCCTGAGCTCCAGAAAATGGTTTTGCTGTTTAGACATTTTCTGCTTCCCTCAACCTTTCTTCCACCCACCTTCCCCCTCTCTTCTTGCACCCCCCCACCGCAAACCCTCTGAATCATATCTCAACCATTATCCCTTTTGATCAGAAACCTAATTTTCTATATAACACCTATAGCTTTGTGCAGACAGAAGTTTAATGCCATTAGTACATTTATACACATATCTGAACAATTCAGAAGAAATTAATATTGTTTATTAATGTTATGAGAATTAGTTCTTGAACAATGTACCTAAACATCCCCTGGCTATACCTCACTTGACTAGTCAAGGTGGGTACTGCAAATAAGTGGTTATTTCATAATGCTTTCAAAAGAATTAGTCCTCATTAAACAGCCTGTTTCCAGGGCATACACTGTAGAATGCATGGTGATGTGGTAGAAAATAAACCTCTGAGTAACTTCATATTTATATGTATCTGCTGTTTATAGCATGTGTATATAGAAGAGGCATGGAAATAACAGCTGTTTGAATCTGTTTCCTGATGTATGCTTTACTTCTGAGAGAGAATAATTAGAAAATAGCACTATAAAGAAAAATAGTGCTGTGCTAAATAACTTCTAAAAAGAATGTTCTCTAGAACTGGATCACTTATCTTCCAAACAAGATATCTTAACCGGGATAGGTATATTTAAAGCTGTAATTGATACAGCAATGCTAGCTGCTCCATTTTAAAATTACCATATTTTCTGTGTCTCCTTTGTTAAAATGGAGATTCATTAGAATAAAGTTTTGCTAGGACATGAACCACTAGTGTATTGTATGTTAAATTTAACGCACAGTATTTTTTTACCTGCCCATTCGTAGTACGTTATCAAAGTGCCTTAACTGTATCTTTTACAGGTTAAGATAACATGGTAGGAGTCATTACTAGTATTTTTGTCCTTTCTTTATTAATTGCTGTTTAGCCATATCTAGTATTAAGTGCTGGTTTGCTAACCTGAATCTCCGAGCAGGGTAAAGTGTCGCTACTGAGAAGTGTCTGTAGAATGAGAACATCAGTGAGATTGTGAGTATCGTAAGTTATTTTAAGCAGCATATAGTTTCAGAGCCTCAGCGACTGGGATATCCAGAGAGGTTACAGAGCAGCCTTTAGAACTTTTCCATTGAATATTAGAAAGTCTGCAAGGATTCATGAAGCTTTTTCATTCCCTTAGGCTTCCAAGCCTCTGCTTTGTACTCATTAAAATAATGTGAAACTGTGCAAGTTCAGAAAGAAGCAAAATATATTCTGGATGGAAGCCTTCAACACCTTGCCTTCTGTAACTCTAAATATCTCAAAGATGATGCAGGGCTTTCAGTACATCAGGTCCTTGCCCTTTTCCTCTGTGGTGTACTATTTATTAAGTATAACTTGTGACAGAGAATGAAGCCATCGTTGAGTCACAAACAGCATCCATTTTCCTTCACTTCTGCTGGTAACTTTTTTCTGTAGTTCTTGAGGCCAATGAATCTTTAATACCTACAAGGAACTTACTCGGTTCTGCCTCCTACCTATCCTAATCTCTCTCCATCATCTTCTTGATTGTTGAAGAAGTTGTTTAAGAAGTTGTTTTCTGAAAGATAATATCAAAATGGGAAGCAGGATACGTACTTCAGTCTGAAAAATTGGAAGGGTTAATTCTGGAGGCAGTATCTCACATGGGGAAAATCATGCTGCAGGCAAAAAATAATTCACTTTAGGTGCATTTTAACATGGGCTCAAGATTAACAAAACTAGGTGATCGTTTCTGTCCTGTACTTGGAGCCTATAGGGAAGTTGTCCAGAGCTTACCTGTTACAGAAAGCTCTACACAGAGGTAGACTACCTCTGTTTGCTGTCAGCTTTCTGGAATGTTTGTAATGCTGACTCTGGATGCTTGATGTGGACTTCTCTGCTGAAGTCGTGCAACATATTGGACTAGCAGCGATATCTGCATGTATTTCCAGTTCAGTGTAACTAGTTTTCCCACTCCACTGGTACCTGTCTCAGATATCTCTCTCAGCCCCAGCACCCATTCCTCCTGGGACCTCACCATATTGTTAGTACCATGATGAAGGTTTTCAAGCCACTAAATGACAGTTCCTTATCATTTTCTGTGAACATGTCTTTTTAATAGCTGTAGCATCAGCTTAGATGATAACAAAAATTCAGGCCTCTATGGCCAGCCAGCTTTATTATCACTGTTCTAACCTCACTGCTCTATCACACTGTCTGGTGTGATAAACCTTCTCTGAAGGCTAACATGACTCCCATTTTTGTCCTCAACTGCTCAGGTCAGTGTCCTCAACTGCTAGTATGACGTGTGAAGCATGGCCAGGATTCTTTTTATGATACTTGGATAAGGAAAATCATACTAGATGGTGCTACATTTATTGACGCACTTACAGATAGTTTCAGGGACATCGTTCTCTTAATTATGAGAATATTTTTCTACTCATTGAACCAAACTGTGTAATAGATAAAAATATTTTTCTGTATTCTTAACTTGACAATTTATTCCATTAAGATAAGAAATAGAAATTGTATTTAACTACTAGCTGGAGATTTTAAGCTTTTTCCATAATTTTCAATAAGCAGGAAATTACTAACAGTATGCTAGCAATTCACTACTCTTTTTAATAGTGTAAATTCATTAGCCAATATTCAGTCAAACATAGGTTAGACCATCAGTGTTCAGTCTGTTACTGTCTAGTAACAGTTGCTGCTCTCTGCCTCTTCCTGTTGTCCACTTACTGGCTTCAAACTTTGAGGCTTTTTCCAAACTAGTAACACAGCCTGAAGCTTTTTTAAGATTTTAGTTTTTTAGATTTTTATTTGCTTCTATTTTCATTTTACAAAGGTAAATATTTTGCAAATATTCTGTAAGTATTTCAGTTCTGTACTTTGTATGACTATATGTGTGATCATGCCATGTCAAGTCCCATTTTGGCTGCCTAAATGTGTTAAATGCAAAGTGAGATTTATCTGAGATGATAATTAGATTTTTTTAGGCATTAAGAATTGGACTTTAAAAACTGATATAAAACCTGTTGCTGTGGCAGCGTGGAATGGCTGCACTGAAACATAAAACTCTGTAATCTAGCAAGTTATGGCCAAGACTTACTTCAACAGTACTTCAGAAAGCAATCAGATCTAAATGTTCCTCCCTACTATGTGGGAAAGTTGTGGCAGAGCTTCAGATCTGTTTCTGGCAATTTTACTGATGTTTTCTTGTGTTCAGACAAGGGTTACCTCAGCGGCAGATTTTTCTAATGCAGTGACCACATGTATAATTTCTAGCAGTTAATGCTTCAATTAGAATGCTTCAATGAGATTGCTTTCTGTAATAAGAAATTGAATTAAGATGGAATGTCTACCAGTAAGAGACCTAGGGAGCCTTTCTAATGTTAAGTAAATTGTAACTTGAAAAAGAACATTATGAACTATTTCCAATTATATGCAAAGATTTTTTTTAACTTAGATACAGCCTACTTAGGGTGCACAGAACACTTGGATACAAAAGGGATGCTTATAACAGACTTCAAAATCTACTCTTTAAAAATCTATGTTTAGTTATTGTGTGATTCTAGAACATTCTAAAGCTTAGGGATTGCTAAGTTTTAAAAGTTTATAGTTCCTGAAGCATACATTTCTGGATATTTCCAGAAACATGTTGCTTTTACTGGTGGACAAAGCAGTGCTTCAGACTTAATTAAGACTTAAGCTTGAAATTCTCTTAAGTCTGTACTATGCGACTATACTGACACTGTGTATACTAGAAGATACATATATATTACAGACACTACAACAGTATGAGACTATGCTCATACTGTTTCCCATGAGAAATGGGGAAGACCCAAAAGACATTACATAACCTGCTGTCTGACAAGATCCCACCCAAATGATAAGCAGATGATGTGATGCCGTATGTCCTTTCTTAATTTAAATCTCAGTATTTCTCCAGTAGTGGAAGGCCCTTGGTTCAAATGCCTGTCGCAGGTATTCATGTTCCCTTGGTTCTCTCCGGAGATGGTGTGCTGACCACCCGGATACTGGCTATCCTAACATACACAGTGTCAGGAGCTGTGGCTTCTGTCCTTTCGGTTTTGTGAGAAATCCTTACAAATTTGTTGGAAGATTTAAGGAAAGTTTGTTCTCAAGTGATGCTTGGCTGGATAGCTAAGAACAGAAA